AAATGGATAAAAAATTAATTTTACATACAAGCTATCCACCTCCACATTTTCAGCCCATGCCCCAAATTATCTCAATTTAGGTTCAACTTTGAACGGTACATATGTTACAGCCAACACCACATGCAAAGATGAATACATAGAAAATTCATGAATTAGAAATCTGCGCTGCTGCTTCTTTTCTAATAAGATGTTCTGCCTTGATTAAGGTCATTAGGCAGCTATTGCCTTTGACAGCAGGGACGGAGCAGGGTCCAGATAGAACAAAAATGCCTCACATTCTGATTTAACCACATGATTACGCCTAACAATTGGGGTGTGAAGAGAACTTGATCCACCCTTTACTTATTGCTTTTCCCTTGCAGTACATTGGACCTTGATTCTGATTTAGACATTCCCTGCTTTCCGTGTTTACTCATCATTTATTAAGCAGCTGTATGTTGTAGTTATAAAAATGCAGAGACTGAGGCGCTCACTTGTTAGCAGGGGAGATGAAACTGAGCCAACATATAAACAATGAGCCTGCAATCTGATAAGGGCTGTGGGAGAAGGGTGTGGAGGTGTTCAAGAAAACAGCAGAAGGAGGCATTCATTCTGCATGAGTAAGGTTTCTGAGGAAGGTCACAAGAAGCTGGACCTTAGGTGTCTTAAACAGGGGGTTGCCAGGGTCATCCTGAGCAGAGAGAACTCAGGCAAAAGTTTGGGGGTGTCAAAGGGTTCAGGATGTAATAATCTACGTTAGGAATATAGGGCTCAAGGAACACGAGGAAGGGAAGTTGCAGGTTGGGTCCAGACACTTTGGGAAGAAACTGGATTTAAGATGTGAAAGTGGAAAGGGGGGAAACCATCTGAGCAAGGCAGGCCTCTCTCCCCCTTATACCCAACTCCATCCTCCCCACAGAGACCTCAGTCCTCATGTCCAAGTTTTGTCCACACCCACCATCCCTTAGCCACCCATTGGGCCTAGGGCTCTACTCAGAGTATGGTCTGATCTTGATAGGGGTTCATAGAGGCCCTGAAAGTGTGCTTTAGGGTCACAAGGGGGAGGGAATTCTGGAGTATAGAGCACCTGAAGCCTGGTCTGAAGGAGAAGAGGGAGCAGGTGGGTTCATTGGCCACTCCCTCTGTGCCCGAGGGTGGAGAGTCAGCAGAAGTCCAGAGTGGACTGTGATGTGCAGGACTCAGGTCTAGCCCCAGGGAGGAACCACTCCCAGAGCCCAGGCCACTTTGAGTTTCCATCGGGTGGTGACTTTTTAGCTTCCTGGACAGGTGCCCACTCTCTTCCCACTATTTGCCATTTCACTGGGCTGTAGGCTGTTACTGAAAGAGGCCATATGGATGAGGCCTTATCTAGAGGCAGACACCACCAGCTCTAGATTTGGGCTTATTTACACAGAGGATGTAAATTCAACAAACCAATCTTCACTGCACACACAAGTCTTTCTCAGCAATTTCCAACTTGTTTGCACCAACCCAAATGTAAACCTGAAACTTTCTCTGCTGTAGACAATTACCAGAGCAGAAGCTGCGGTTGGCAACTGAGGGTTGGAGGTCAAGTTAAAAGAAGGAAAAATTCCATCACAGACTTTGAAGACTAGTTCGTGCTGTGTACGGTTGCAGGATGTTCTCTTGCTCAAACACGAAAGTAGATATGTGGACTCCAAGATGAGGTGATAGGCTGGAGAATGGAACAGGGACTGTGGAGTTGGGGGTCTGTTAGGTTCAGCTCCCGAGAACAAGTCACCATCTGTTCCTCTCAGTTGGACCAACGGGAACTGGGCCCCGGACAGACCCTAGATCAGGACACAAGCATGACATGGTGCCTTGCAGCCAGGGGAGAAGATGGCTAGCTGAGTAACACCTGAAGTGTGACCAGTGTTGAGTGGGCTGGACAACCGTGCAGAGTCCATGGGAGCCCAGAGCCAGGGACTCAGCTCCTGTAAGTCATGTCCCTCACTGGGCTCAACTTCCTCTGCCAGAGCGCAGTTTTTAGCACACAGGTACCTAGCCCAGAGTAATTGTTTAGGAAACAGCCAGTTTTCCCTTTCTTGAATGAGTCTCCAGCACACCAAACACTTTCGCCTGCACATCACTGGTCCCCAGAGATGGTCTTGCATTTTGCACATGAACCAAGATTTCCTTCAATCTCTTCATTTGCAGAGCCTGGGGAACCCGGCAATCATCTTTCATGGGTTCAGCAACACACAAAGGCTTGTTGTCTGGGTCCCCTTTGCTTTCATTCTCTGTGTTTAGGTTTTTGATCCAAGGCATGCAGCTCTCAGCTCTTTCCTAGAACCCACTGGAAATCCTTTGTGTGTGTGTGGTATTTTGAGGATCTTGTTGAAGATCTAGGAGTTTCAGAGAGAAGAGTTATACTGGGCTTGGCTCCACCCAACCTGTTTCCTATCATTGTCTCCTGTCAATCTCAGCTCCCAGTGAATCCATTTTTATCTTCCTCTGAAAGTTTAGCACTGCTCGTCCCAAGACCCCAAGGAAGACAATTCTCTCTAAGAGGAATACCCACTGTTAGGCTGAGGCAATTTTCTCTCTCTCTTTACAGTTCATTTTATGCTCATTAGCAGCCCTCTGAGATTAGTGCAATAATTTCCACTGTATAGACAAGGAAATGGAGGCTGAGAGATGAAGTGCCCTTCGCCAAGGTCACTCTGTGAGCCAACCAGAGTCTGGCTCCATCTCCACCGGTCCCTACGCCTGATGACAGTCAATCTTGTGCTGCTCAGGGCCTCTCCCAAGGCCCTGACTCTCCGTGCTGTAAGAGGGAGTCTCTGTCTCTTGGCTCAGAGGTAGGTGAGTAAGTTCCAGAACCCCCTTTGGAAATGCCAGTCCAGCCTTCGCCTTCCTTTCAGAGGAGGAGGAGGAGGTGGTGGTGGACACACCTCCCAGGTGAGCCTTGGGAAAATTCTGTGGCTGTGACCAGGGCTGGAGAGACAGGCCGTACTCAGCTAGGCCCTGGGTGTGGCAGTCCTGCTCACTTTCTCCCATGGGCCCGGGGTCCAGAGGACCAGCCATCTCTGCCTGGCTATACTTAAGCTTCCCCAGATGCCTCACGACCTTGACATGATTCATGCTGGTGTCCATTTCCTCGTCACCACCCCTGGTAGAGAAAACAGCGAGGTGTGGGGTCCACAGGGCGTCTGATCTCAGCTGTGCCGCGCATCATGTGGCTTCATCCAGTCACGCCAAGGCCTCCCTCTAGGGGGCCAACCATGCTTGCTGCACCGCTGTGGTTTACAAAGCAGGGCATCTGCTCCTAAATAGTGATGCCCTATGGTCTTTGTGGTGTCCGGGCTGGTCATGGGCCAGGTGGATGAGCAGAAAGCAGCTCTGTCCTCAGAGAGCTTACATTCTGGGGGCCAGGAACTGTTTTTAAAAATGAGCTGTCATAGTAAAATGATTAATATGTTAGGAAGCAGTGCCTGAAAGAGAATGAACACGTCGCTAATCTCTGCCCCGGGAGGGGGTTGTGCAGCACAGAAGAGCAGTGGGCTGTGTGCCCAGCCCTGCCCTGGCTGTCCCCAGAAGCCCATGGTAGGTCTGGGCAGCCCGGCCAGGCCCCTGCTGCATCTGGATGACCTTCTCCATGGAGGCTGCCTTGAAGTGTGTCCCTTGTTAAGAACTGACACAAGCCACAGGACATTTTCTGCTTCAGGAGAGTCCGGCCGCTCAGTGGCATCAATAAGCAGGAGTCCCCTGTTTATTGCTGCCTCCACAAGGGCACAGTCTCCCCCGGAAGTGCTCCTTGGGGTTGACCAGAAAGATGGCAGAATCTGTCATCTTACATAAGGATGCTACCCAGCACCGCTACTTTTAAACTCTTCAGAATACAAAGCCTTATTATTTCTATGGTTCTTCCTATTTCTGTAAAAGAGAGTTCCAGGTGCAATTCTAATTTCTCTGAAACAACCTCCTATTAACTCCCTCCTGCCTCCCAGTGAAGTTAGCTACTAATATTAGCACCATTTTACAAATGAAATGAGAAACAGGCCCAAAGAAGTGGTAACTTGGTGAAGTTCTGCAGGTAGCGTTGGGCATAATACACTGTTTTAGTCGCTCGTTTGTGCTTACCTGCTCCCAGCTAAGAGATACTGACCCCAGATGGACTTAGGCTTCCACTGTTAACAAGTGTCTAAACCTTAATGAGCTGTACAGGTGGGGACTTAAAAATATATTTATTGTAATTCGTTTTGTTTAAGAACATCTATTTAATTTGGCTACAGAATAAAAAGAATATTCACACTATAGTAAGGCAGAGCCCGTGTGACCTGGGGGTGTCTGGGTGCAAGATGAGGGGCGGGAAAGGGAGGGGACAGAGAGACAGGTCTGGCCAGATCACATCTGCGTGCAGGTGTCCCTGGAGGGGCCTGTTGGAAAAAAGTGGGGTGAGAAGAGAGGGCTCGAGGGCTCTCAGAGAAGGCTGAGAAATGAGTCCTCTTGTCAGCTAAGGAGACTCCAGGGCCACAGGTCACAGGGACCATCTGGACAGATGGGCGCAGAGGGTCCAGGATGGCCACTCCCAGCCCATGTACCTTGGTGCTGATTTCCAACGTGCCTTCTGTTCAGTCAGGCTGTGCCCTTTCCCTTTTGGGGAATCGGCCCCTCCCTTCAGTCAGCACCCTTCTACATAGGTCTCACCCCACAGTGTTGTTGAGTGCTGATCTGGCCCCCAAAGTGACTTTCACTGGTCCTCAATGCTGCTTTCAGATTGTAACCATTTTGCATTTATTTCTGTGGATAATGTTTATTTGTGGCAAGTGATTCCATTTTCCCATTTCATTTAATTTTCTTTAGATGCTTGTTTTCAAGCCAGAAAACGGAGTTTGCTTTAATGGCACATAAAGCAGAACTAAATGACAGTCCATGTGGCAAAAATCACAGGGCACTGGTGGAGAGATGGCGACGTGTGAGGACGCTTGCCTGTGGGCTTGGGTCCCGTGCCTGCCTTCCTGACTCCTCAGTGCTTCCTCCGTCTTGGTGTCTTGCAGACCCGGTGCACGGCCCACAGAACGTGGAGATTGTGGACATCCGGGCCCGGCAGCTGACCCTGCAGTGGGAGCCCTTCGGCTATGCGGTGACCCGCTGCCACAGCTACAACCTCACGGTGCAGTACCAGTACGTGTTCAACCAGCAGCAGTACGAGGCCGAGGAAGTGATCCAGACCTCCTCCCACTACACCCTGCGCGGCCTGCGCCCCTTCATGACCATCCGCCTGCGGCTGCTGCTGTCCAACCCGGAGGGCCGGATGGAGAGCGAGGAGCTGGTGGTGCAGACCGAGGAGGACGGTGAGCAAAGTGGGGGGCAAGTGAACTTGGGAGTGGGGAGTGTCAGGCCCGCTCACGGAGCCACGCTGGTCATTTTGAAGGCTTTATTTGTCCGCACTTTCAGTCTCTCCCTGTGTATCTGCCTCTTTTCCAAGGTGATGGGTGAAGTACCACATAGGCTATGCCTTGCACAACTTCGGGGGTCGCTGTTTCCATAGATGATGGCAGCTCTGCCCAGGCACACTCAAGCTTTATAGCCTCATCCTTCTTTTCACATCTTATCACCTTCTATACCCAGCGTTTAAATGCATGGAGGCCTCTTGAAAGGAGGCGTAGTTGCTATCGTTTAATATGTTGGGTTTAAGAGTCAAAAATTCTGGTTTCTATAAGAATTAACCTCAGAAAGTACATCTAAATAGCATAACACGCACATTGAATGCATCTAGGACCACTGAGTAACAGCTGGATGTCCTTCAGTTTATCTCAAATCCAGAATAGCCAAACATGAACCCATCTGTCCTCTCTGTTCTCATTGCTCTCCTCGTGGTCCTCATCTCAAGAGCTGCATCTAGTGTGACTCAGGACACAGGCCCTGAAATCAATCTGAGCAGCTCCACTTCCCTGCCTCCACTCCTCCCCCTACAAGTTTCTGATGAACCTACTTCCTGAAGCTTATCTTCCAACCTACCACTTAGCCTGAGACTCTAGGAGAACCTCGTTTACCTTCTAGAACTCAACTACCTCTGTCATCACTCTGTCCTTGTCCATGCAGTTTCTGCTGCATGAAATGACATCTTCTTCTGTGCCTAGAGGACATACCCTTAATCTTTCATTATTTTCTTCACATGCTGCTTCCTCCAGAAAGCTTTCCCTGATTTCCCCAAGCCATTTGAGTATTTCTTCTCAGGTACCCACTACATTTTGAGGAACTCCAATAACAAGATATTTTATTCGAGAGGACTATCCCAAAATAAATGACAAGAGGAAAGAGCACCTGCCTCTTCTTCTTAACCTGTCCCCTGTTCACATTTCCTGAGTTCTTCCTTGAACTGGAAGTTTTATACATAATCTGCCTGACCCCTTTAAGTGCCTCCTTACAGCCACTCTTTGCTAGCACCCTATAGACTATGCTTCTAGGTTGCAGCAATGGGGTTCTTGGATCCCCACCTTCCTGCACTGCAATACAACTTTTATCACCTGTGGGCACAGCTCCCACTGGGTCAGCCTTGCCAGGTGAACTGGTGTCTGCTTCCGATGACCTCTGTCCATCCAACCTCCTGGTGGGGTCAGACAACTCATCGTGGCTTCTCTCAGTAGCCAGGGAACCAAGGCTGTGGTTTTGGCTTCTATTAAAACAGCCAGACCTTGCCCAAGCTTTGGCTCTGTAATTTCAAAGATATACAGCCCTTCCTCCAGTTGTAGAATACCGCTTTGTTTGAGAAGGCAAATTTTGGAGGCAAATATGCCTGGGACAAGTTGCTTAACCTCTTAGAATCTCATCTATAAAAGAGTTAATAATAGTGCCTACCTTACAGATTTTTGTGTTCCTTAAAAGGATGGTATAAGAAAATGGAATATTGCCCAGCGGATTGTAAGTTTTCAATAAATGTAGCTACTATATTTGCACTAAATCAGGGGAAGCAATAACTGACTAAGGGTTCTCTGGCACAAGCAATGCCGTTACCTACCTTAGAAAACCTCTGGAGCTCCGCGTCCATGCTGTACTGCTTGTAGAAAACATGACATAGACTCTCAAAGAGTGACAACATGGCCAGTGCCTTTTCTGAGAAGCAGCTAGAAAATGCAAGACTCAGAAGATGAGTGACAGGGTCAGACCAGGAGCAGCTCAGGTGCTTTGTTCTTGGGCTGCTCTGGTTGCAGTGGGCTGCTTTGTAAGGATTGCTCACGTGCATCCCAGCAAATCCCCAGTCCCATCTTTAAAGCTTGTCTTAACCTAGCCCTTTCTCCTCCTGGTTGCTGGAAGGCAGGGGTTGGGGGCACCACAAAGCCTTTATCAAAACAACATGGGAACGGCAATGGTTTGAAATTAAAATTTAATTAAACGCCATTAATAAAATGTCAGTTCTTCATGGAGCTGTGTGGACATTATCCCATTAAAAGCACTAGCATACCAGATGGGGGGCTGTCCCAAGCCCACATCTCAGGGCCCTTACCCACTATATGCCTGGGTGAGCTCCATTCCTCCCAAAGAAGAAGGAATACAGTGCCCTTGTCTCGGAGAACTTGTTCACCTCAAAACCTGCAAAAGACAGAACAAGGCTCCAGTTATCGGACTCCGCCTCAGGAAACCAAAAGAGTAACCTCTCCAATTGATCTGACTGGAGTCCAGATGTTTTGTTCTCACTGTAGAACTGTCTTCTGGGGAACTTGGAGAACTTGTAATGTCAGGATCTCGGTGTCTTTAAGGGCCAATGAAGTTAACTCTTGCCGATGAGAGAAGCTCACGGCCACAAAACTCTGTGGCTTCAAATTCTTCTGTTTTCCCTTTTCCACAAACATCTTAGAGCAAATGATGGCTTGGTTACTTCCACAGCCAAGATCCCGACTTGCAATATCTGAGGCCTGGGAAACAGATGACAATGCTCATGGTGGCCTCCCTTGGCTGCCATTTACTGAGCACTGCTCTGTGTTAGGCACTGACAGGAATGTTCTTGAATATTCTACACTCATGCCCAAGATTCTGTTCTGAACTATTTCAGAGCTATAGAACAATTGAAAGATTATTACTAAGCAGATCTGTAAACTCTTCACCTTAATGAACACTAGTTCTAGATTTTCTTTTTCCTATTATGTATGATACACCTAATGTGAAATTATCATATATAAAAAAAACATATTTTATTGTTAACTACTTGAAAGGAAGTCAAGACAACCAACCTGTCCTCTGCACCATGCAAAACCTTAGAAGAATGAGAGCTTCTTCCATACCCACAATGCCATCAGAAACTTAGCATCCATTTAAAATAATCAAACAGATAGCCCATACTGATGATTCCAATAATGTTAAATTTTATTTTATGTTACAAACGAGAATATGAAACTTTTTTTTACAGAAGTGCTCCCTGGATCGAGGATGTATTTTTCTCACTATTTCACGAAGTATAGGATGTCAGAGCTCCTCTCCTGGTAAAGTCTAGATAAGACGAGGTCACTTAGGTGGGGACCACTCACCCCCTTCACTGTAAATGCAGTCCCCTTTTCTTACCATAAATGAGCTCATTGAAGCAGTGAGGCATTGAGGTCATGTGAATATCCTGTTCTCCAAGAACTTTTTACCCAGTGATGTCACCACCTCTTGATCATTCTTGCCTGAGCCAATTATTACATTGGTCTTCACAAAAGAGTCATTTTTCAGGCTGCCATTCGATCTGCACATATTAATTGGCATACTTCTTTATATATCTTTATTTTTCAGCCCCTCCCCATTTTTAGTGTTCCTACTGACTGGTATATATTCTGTTTGGCTAAATAATATATTAAAATTCATTACTACTTTTCTCTTCAGTGCTCACATTATCTCATTTAGAACTAGCATCCCTGCGAGTGGCTCCAGAGTCCTTGTGACATGTTCTCATTAGGCTTCCTTGACTGTCCTTGTAATGTCTCCACCCTAGACCTGAAATCAAACCAAGATTCCTAGTTGCTTTCAATGAGAAGTGATATTTTGGCTCTGAGATAGACATCTTAGGGCATTCAGCATTATGTAATTACCTTGAGTCCTTCAAGGAGGTAGAGCTGGGAATATGATTGATGTGTGTTAAATCATAGCTCACACTGGTTCAAATCCAGCATCTCAATTATTCTGCGCTTGTCATCATTCATTCCCCCACAGAGAGAAGTTGTGTTACCAGGATCTGTGTATTTTTTCACTTGCTCTTCCCCATAATACACATAAAATGTTGCAGAGTATAGAATGAATCCTCCTAATACACAGAAAGCTATGGTAGACTGAAGCTTTTCTTTTCAGTCCTTCTCCCTTTAAGCCCTCAAAATCCTGCCCAAAGTTCATTCATTTCTTTGCATGGTTATAATATCATGCTATTCAGTTAGGTTCATTTGTTTCAATTTTAAGGTTTTCCTTTTCCCTATCCTTTTACGTTTAATGTTATTGTTTTAGCATCAAAAGAGTTGCAGGTTCAAAAGGTAGAACTCTATAGCAAGATGCACTGAGAGGAATATTGCCATCATCTGTATCTTCTTCATGCAGCTTCATTCAAAACCTGAAAGACAACCCTTTGTGATCATTTTGAGTTTACTTTTTCTATAGCTTGTTTTGCAGAAAGCAAACACTACTTTTCTGTTATTTCTTATATAAAATAGAGTGTCATAGATATACTGCAACTGATACTTTCATTCATCAACACATCCTGGAAATCATTCCAAATCAGTCTGTACAGATGTTTGCCACCCATTTCCATAGCTGTTCAGGACTTCAGTGCATGGATACACCATAGCTTACTGAAGGAGAGTCCTGTGGACATTTCATTTGTTTCCATTGTTTTCTGCCATAAATAATACTGCAGCAGATTGCCTTGTGCATATGTTATTTGGTATTCATTAGGTATATTTTCATGGTGAATTCCTAAAGGTGGGGTTGCTAAGTCAAAGAGTAAACAAGTATGCGTTTGGTTAGGTAAGACAAATATTCTTCCACAGAAAGTTGTGTCATTTTACATTTCACCAGCAGTGTAGATTCATTTAATAATTACAGCAAATGTGAAAAAACAAGCAATACTATTTATTTTATAGTAAGAAAATGGAGGCTCCCATATAATTTTTAATAGTTATACATAAAATTTAACTGTTTAAGATGTACAACATGTAACATATATTAAATAACTTATCTTCAATATGGTTAATCCATATAGTTCATATATAATTCAATATAGTAATGATACTTTAATTGTAGGGAAGACTACCATCTCAGAAATGCACACCTATGTTTCTTGTGCATTTTTAATTTTTTAAAAATATTTATGTATGCATAAAGAACTGGGGTA